GATTCAATAGATTACAAAATTGCCGGAAGTGCAGATCCGGTATCTCCCCTGTTGTCTTAATAGTCTCTCCCGGAAGTATTTTTTGTTTTTCCGTCAGAATACAGTTCTCCATTGACAGTTTTGGCGCTGTTTTAACATTATTGCAAGGTAGTAGATTTTCTGTGTGTTACTTTGATGCACACGATTTTGTGTAAATGAAATAAGCAGCTACAGGCTGTCTGCTATCATACAAACAAGGCTGATGGAGCTTGTCCGAAGTTCAAGGAGATTAGCGGATACTCTACACTTGCTTCCTGTTAATCCAACGGTGGAGCTACTCTAGAAAAATGGCTTCACATTTGCGTCGGCTGTCTCATCGTATATTCTTGTTTTAAATTAGAAGCTCCATTGTGCAACAAGCACAATGACGTTCCTTTAATTGCTGTAAGAGTTGGCGAGATTTGGGCAAATCACTTTGCCGAGGCATAAGTTCTAGACAGCTTTTTTTTTACCATCTGCCAAAAATAGTATCGTGGTAAGTTTTCTTCCCATTGCCTTACACTTGCAATACCGCTCTTCCGGTATTTCTTAGTGCATGCGTCCGACTTGTGTTCTGCTGCTTAAGCATTTAAAGACTGTCTTCTCGCTTCACGTCACTTGCTCCGGTGAGGGATAGAATTTAAGGTGCTGTTTTGGAATCACGACCTCCTTGCGATAGTCCTCCCTAGTGATAAATCTCAAGGGCCGGAGTCCAAACGCTGCCCTTCCGCGAAGCAGCGCTGTGGTGTGATCATCCACCCAAATGACACGAGTCAACTGGTTTATGGGGGAGGAGAGGGGGAGTAGGCGGACTAGAGCATGCATTGCCAAGTCTTAATCCGGCTCTGTGCATAATTTGGCAGCGTTTTTACTACCATTGTCCCTCCATTTGCATATGTAGTCACTGGACGACTGGCGCTGTTGCATATTAATCTCCGCGAGGTGCTCTTGGATGACGATGTGAAGTTGGAGGAGATTGCGGAAAAGTTGGCTGGCTACTCCGGCGCTGATATCACTAATGTTTGTCGGTAAGCTACACACATACAACTAATTCTTGTCCATGCCTTTATCACTTAATCTTATTTAGTTAAATACGTCCTATTTCCATTTGGCATGCGTCTGGTTGTAACCCAAGCAAATTTTGCTCCACGTCAACATCTGTGCCTTGAACTTGAAGTGTGCGGAATCTCTGCAATCGGCGCGTCAGCCACTTATTCTACGATTGAGGTAGCGGTGCAGCATTAAAGAATTTACTACACATTTTCCTATAAACATCAAAGAACTGTTTATTACAATCGTCGTCTGCCAAAGCTAGTCATAAGCACAGGTGGTGGTCTTCAGTAATTTCGGCTCTAGGCCTTTACTGGTCGAGTCTTATCACCCTCCAGTGTCGTAACACTTGCCTTTTTTAGGCATATCAGCGGGGCAATGGACGGATTAATGTGAGCTTATGTTTCATGTCTGCCTTTGTCTCAACCCTAACTTCACTCAAAATGTTCCGTGTTAGTCGACCGCATTTGAATGCCTTTTTCAACCTTGAGAGTTAATTTGAATGGTGGGTTGTCGAATTTAATGACCGTGACCTCCTGTCCACAGACTCTGGTTTGAAATTTGGTAAAGTACTTCATGAGTGTGTCTGCCTGGGCTGAGTTAGACACGAGAAGCATATTTAGCCTGGCTATGATAAATTACTCTCCGTACTTTTTGGTTGTACGCAGTGGTCCGAGACAAGTATGTCCTAGCAGCGGTCGCTGCATGTCATGCGGACGTCTGAAAACTGATAATCAAGTCCCTCCACAACGGCAGTTGTTATTCCACTACACAACCATTAACACCGGTCGGTTTTTTTACTACCGGGGTGGTCGAAGTGGTAGTGATCACTTGCAGCTTTGAAGCTCACTTTGTACCACGACGTCTTTTTGCTGTCGGTCAGTGATGGCACAGAGTGTTCTCAAACAGATTAGCATTATCAATGGATTCTTCCTCCCGTGGCAGGGAACCGTCACATAGTGGCCACAGTTTTTTCCCTCTTTTAGGCCAATCTCTTCTTTTTTTGAGTCTTCCACTTCCCTTGAATGCCCCTCCTGTCTTCAAAACGCCGATAGCAGTATTTCTGGCCCACATTATTGAGTTGAAGCAGAGATGTTGGAGGACGAATCACAAATTGAGTGATGGAAGTACATAGGACTCTGTGAATTGTGAAGTTGTGTAAATCCGATGGCAGTAGTTTAAAGGGGTGTTTTATTATTCGCTTCGGTACGATCCAGAGACGCCTCGATGATGTCGATGCGACGAGCAATTGAAGGCCTATCGGTGGAGGAGATAAAGGGTCTGCGAACTGCCGATCTCAATCTACCGACGAGGATGCGCGATTTCGAGGAGGCCATTTCCCGTGTCTCCAAGTCTGTCTCTGCGGCCGACGTTGGAAAGTATGAGAAGTGGATGCAAGAGTTCGGCGCCACCTAGCTTTCTTCCTTTCGTACTTTCCTACTCCCTCTCGTCAAACTCACAGGCCTGTGATTTGCCTCTTGCTTGACCCGCCCCTCCCCTTCCTCCCCCACTCCCCATCCACGCCTCGTCTACTGTATTTTTGTGCATTTACGTCCGTCAGACAATAAAGGTGTCACCACACTATCTGATCTTGATGCCACTTTATGAGTCCATTAATTACCACAGGGTACGCATGATCATTCAAACTGGAGATACCCCTTGGTCGGTCAAGCAATTTGGAAGTGGACGAAGGTCCGTCTCCTTCATCCGTCCTCTTCAACCGTTGGTAGATGTGAAAATATTTGGTTATCTGATTGCTTGGGCCACCACTTTAGCCAAGTTTATGCACAGGTTGTTTGCATGCAATATGTTTTGACAGACAAAAGTGATACTTTGCACATTACTTGTGTAGGCCCTTTGAACAGCGATGTGTGGCTCAGATTGTTCTTTTTTTCGTCTGCAGCTGAACAGTCTCCTTGTCTCTGCTTGATCCAATAGCTTGACTTAATTGTCGACACATTTTTGCGTTAGGTATTGTTTGGTATCGAAAATTTTCAGCACAACATTTTGGTTGTCACGTCCCTGTCACATTTTGTTATGCATTTGAGAATTGGCCCTTTGTACTTTGCACTTTTTTAATGCTCTTCCTCTTCCCCTCTCTCCTCCCCCTCCTTCGCATTTTACTTTCATTTTTTAATAAAAGCATTACCTTTTATGTCTTCTTTTTAGTGCATGGAAGACGTAAACCTCGAATTTCCTTGAATTCCAAAATTTATCATATAAGAAAGCACACTTATCACTTTGTCCATGTTTTTGGTGTCTTTTTTGTGATCCTTTCATTCTTTCTTGAATGCTCCAGTGATCTCTAGGCAGGAGGCATCGGTGCTCGTATGACTGGATTGATACTTTTAAGAATAACTAAAAGTCACGATTAAAGAGGAAAACTGGACGCTTTTCTTTGAACTGAACTGTCGATCCATCATCCCTTGACGTGAGGCTTTTCGACGTCTTTGCTGATGAGTTTTGGCAACTTTTCCAGCTGCATCATTTGTTCAATGAAACAACGCATACATTTTTGAGGTGCGTTTGTAGTAAATTAACACTTTGATTGTTTGTTTACTCACTTTGACACTTGGGTCTCTCCAGACTGCACTTTAGCTCAACACTGTAGTCTACGCCTGATTATTCACCGTCCTCCATATTCGAAAAGCTGCAAATTGGCACCAAGTGCGGAACAACTGTCATGAGACTAGAAAGCCCTGGGGCGTCCTAACGCATGGGTAAAAAATAGCTTTTACCTGCGACACCTTACTTGATCCCCTGTTCTGCGATAGAGGAATTGGCTGCTTCGTTTGGCTGCTCTTAGTTATTTGGGCACTTACTTCCATGCTCTGTGCGGTGCAGCCATTGGGGCTCGTTGGCAGTCACTTGGAGCGTCTATACGTAAATAGTATGCGTTCTATTATACCTGAACGTCATCAATGACAACCTTCATGATTGTGTAGCTTCTAGGCTCTCCTCTATGGCTGCAACTGCATCATATTTACCGTGAAAGGACACACTACTCACTAACGTTAGAGAGTGCTGCGAGTCTGAGTTGAATCAAGTGCGACCGATTAATCAAATGAGTGTAACATCGGAACTGCTTTTTACTTATTACTTTGGAGTTCAGAAAATTACCATACGCTTTTATATGGAGTCATGGTGTTAAGGAAGAAACCGACTTAGTTTGCAGGCTTGCAAGATAAACGCTTTGGAAGTGCCTTTTCCCAGGCCATTCATGACAACTGTTTAAACTAACGCAATTGTGGACAGACATCCATTTAACCTTGTTGTATGACCAAAAAAATAGAGTTGTATACTTTAAGACGGTTTGCACTTCTGAATTGACACGTTCTGGTCCTGGCTGCTGTCAGATGGCTTCGGAGTAGTAACCGACTTCACTGCACAGGTCCACTACCGCCTGACCAGCTTCGTCAAATTACTACTGCCAGATGTTGGTTGACGTGGTCTAGTCACTTGATGCGTATTCTGGAGAGGAATTTGGATTGTAGGCGGGTTTTCTCATGGCTAGCTAATTATGTGTTAAGTGGATGTGCTGTGCTTGAAGCAATAAGAACAAACGAATTTTACATCCTGACGTAGGGGAGACTTATATGTCCACATCAGTGCAGTATTGTTAACTATAATAAAAGTCCAAAAGCAACAGTACGGTGTAGCCATGATGTTACTTGTAGAATTTAATGTCGTTTTAGCAGTGTGAGTTGGGGTAGTTGTAGGTTGATGCATCAATCTTCTTGATATAATACTAAGCGTTGCTCAAACAGCTCTATCCGATCGTTATCATTCAGGCTTTAATTAGCCCTTCCAAATAACATTTCTGTGTTCAATTAGTATCTATAAATGTACAACTTTTCCAAAGAAATCATCATCTCGAGTTCCTGGAGAGTCTTATTTCATTGACTAATCACGGCATTCGAGCAATGTTTTAACGCACTCCAAAATGTTGGCCTTGATGATGCTACCACCGATTCAACGCATAAATCATAGATCACGCCAATGCGTCGTCTATAATTTTACACTTCTAGGACCAATGTGGGGGATTTTGCACACCGAGCTAATTTGACCTGATGCAATTAACGACATAATAAATACAATCACAGAAATTGACTCGGCGACGAATGTCGAAAGGCGATATTATTGCAGGCTCATTGTCTGCGGTTCATCGACTGTGCTTTTTACGAGTCTTCGCACGACACTTGGGAGTAAACTGTTTATTAAGCGGTGTTGTATACATTCTGAGCCTTTTCGACCTTTTGCATATGGGTTAACCGAAACGATTTTCACCTTTGGTGGTACTTCAAGTTGTAGTATTTTGTGGTCTTTACGGATGTGGTCAGGTTTGCGTCAGTGCCCATACTCTTTGCCTGATAATCAAAGTTCTCAAAACACTTTCCTTTGCACTGAATGACCAAAATATTATCAATATCTTCGTTATAATTTTCTTCATTCTCTTGCCCAACACAAGGCGGCTTGGATTTATGTCTCTCGGTATAGCTCTAACCCATTCTAAGATTTTTCCTTGTACTGGAAAATAAAAATGGAAAAGTTTCATCCCTTTTCAAGGTTGTCTGGCTCACGACTTCAGTTGCATTATCTTGTCATTGGAATTTATAAACAGTGTTTGGAAAATTCATGTAATTCTTAACCTCGAGGAAGGATATGTAGCCTAAATGATGAAGCAACTAGTATATGCGTAAATTAGCTTGGAAGTAGAATATGCGATAATTACTACACAGATAGGCTCACCTCAAGACCTTTGAGCTCATTTTTTTTGTCTGACTGGTAGGCGAAGGGGATCTAGACCGGAGGCGGGATTCACCATGCAATGCAAAACAAATACATCACTACGTTTCTTTATTTCATGCAAAGCTTTATTCGTAGAACCGCTTGATTGTATATGCGATCAATTTTTATGTTTAATGGTCAATGTGAAAGGCTACACGGCATTTGTGCGTTTTATGACTATTTGTCTACTTAACTTACGTAAAAGCAACTTAGTTCTTGTTTCTCTAAATAAAGGTGGAGTCTAAAATCTACCTAATGAAGGCCTTTTAGTGCACTTAGGGGAAAGCAATTATGGCCACATCGCCTCTCCATTTATCGTCACACTTTGAGGGATGGATGCCATCTTTTTTGTCTTAGAATTCAGCAAGTGAATAGCAAAAATGACGGGGAGATTGGAGACAGAAATGGAGGTAACAAAGTCTATTCAAGACGCTACCAGAAACCTATCAAAATTATCTACAAATAATCTCAAACATAGTTTCAACTGTTCTCAAAGGAAACATGCTTGTTTCGTTTTTGGTTTATGCCAAAGTGCCTCACTGATTTCATTAAGTCCTTTTAGACTGACAGTTTTGCTCATGCACCATTAATCTTCCCATTTGTCATGTTTTTTTTGCTTTTTTCATGGACCAAACTGACACGGCATTGGAGTGATGTTTCCACCCTGTTCTCCACCCTTCTATATGTGAGGTTATTAGTTAGAAGATTTAGCTAACTTTTATTCTTTGTAATGCTAAGGAAAGAGTGTTAGTCTTGCCACAGATGACATCAGGATTAACAAAAGGAGTTATTGAAATCTTAAACCTAAATTTTAATGCCTTTTGTGTGTCCCATGTTGACCTAAAGGTCATAGGTCATCAACCGACTGTCATTCGGGAAGGAAGAAGGTCAATACCCACCTGTCCAAGTCGTCAAATTCAAACGAGTTGAATGTACTACATCCTTACTAACAATAATCAGTATGTCTTGTGACTTATTTTGGCACTTTCTATTGAGAAAACAGGTAAATCTATTGCAAATAAATCAACTTCAACATAGTGAATTACTATTTGTATGTTTGAGAAACGCAGTTTCAACGCATTTTGACGCCTAAAGGTTACTTTAAAACCACACAGAAGTAAGTTTTTTTTTTTTGATGACTCAAGTGTTTGGTGCTGAAATAAACACACCCACTTTACAGGAACAAAATATTGGGATGACGCCCTCAACCCTCACATAGGCAATGATTTGATGGAGACGGACTACCAAAATCGCAATTTTCTCTGTCAATAACCTCATTGCTGTGATTGAGCTAACAAAGGAAAACTGTTGTATCACCTTAAGTCTAATGTCCCAAATTTTCGCCCTATCCGCAGCATGAAACGGAGTCTAACACTGAAGCGCATCCAAGAGACAGGTTGTGTGCAGGAGCGTGGATAGTGCTCCCCTCTAAGAGTATCCAAAGCCTGACTAACCCTACGGATGAGTGTTTTATGAACATCAGTACGCAGAGGTGCTGTGAATTGCAAGGAAAGTACAGTGATTGCATTTAAAACCGCAAATACAAGCACTTTTCATCCCCTACAGCATGCAAGTATGATCACGTTATCCATGGTACAAAGGCTTTAAGGATTAGCCCTGTGGCTCTAAAAATAGTCACAACTCTGCTAATGCTTAAGGGGAAGGGGTTGTTGCTAGTGTTATTGCAAGAAGTAAAATCGTAAATACTGCATGAAGGAGAATTACTTTGATGACTGCTAAATTGGGTCGCAAGTTTGTCTAGACCCCAATCTTAAGTGCTTTTGAGGCGAACAATTAACTGTATTGCCGAGTAGGCGAAACTATTTAATGAAGAACGTTAGAAGAGAACATAAGCATTAAGTAGGTAGGAATGGAAGTGAAACAGATCCGGAATCATGAGGATAAAAGTACGGAAGGTTAAAGGGATGGGATGATTATTTTTAATTAATCACAGCATCCTTTGCAGTCAGAGGCGGGCTTTTTCTCTTCCGCATGGCACTTCTTATCACATTCAGTGGGTTTGTCGTGTTTGCAGGGTTCGGTGCTGTGGCCAACGCCCGGTTTGTGGCAGCCAGCTTGGCATTTAGTGGCAGCGCTATCACCGCAGACTTTCTTGCATTCCGTTGATCCGTGGTCGTGGTGGTGCATGTGAGCTTCTACCCCAAATACAACAATATATGCTTGAGTAAACAACATAACTTGCTTACAAATACCACAAAGAAAAGCAGCTAAATTATCCCATGTCAACAAGCTTAAGATTGCCTAACCAACGTATACTACAATATCGTAAAGTGTCTACAATTAAACAAACTAGAAACTCACCAGGAGCGGACATCTTTGCTAAATTCTATAGCCGAAAAAACGCTACGCGACACTACACAGCAGTGAGCAAAGCCTAGCAGTGTCCATATTTATTACCAACGATTGCAAAGCAGACCAATGAAAATGGCGAACCTGTTGACCAATGGGTGTGGCAATACACCAGCCGAATCCGGATTGGTGCATTTGGCTACCTTGAGGAAAGGAAAGCACAGTCGCGGAAGCGTTGGTGCAAAACTGCATCACTGTTTAGCGCTTCACGCGTCAATGGCAGCAAGTAACAATAAAGTTTTCAATCAAATGGTGAGCATTGTTTGCAGAGGCCATTAAAAGGTGGCACAAATTAAGAATTATACGCATGTTTTTGGTAGTGCCATTAATATTCACATAAAAAATAAAGACAGAGTAAATAATGTCATTCAATATCAGTACTGGCTGAAGCATAATAATGCACAAACATTAAAATTATGCAGTAAAGCGATTAAGATAACATTTAGCCCACTAAGCCACACTTATCACAAATAATTAAGCACAGGGCTTCACAACAAAACAGTACTATATGTGTTTTGATCACTTTGACTGCCATATTGCTCCCGCGGGACGGTAGCCTCATAATCATAACAATAGCCACGTCTCTTTCCATTCTGCCCACAAATATGTGTTCAGCCACATGTTAGAACTTCTTTTAGCGAAAAAGAATTCTCGAGTTCGCTAAGTTACTGATCACTTGTGGTTATGTTGTAAACAGTACTGATTGCTACATGTGATTATTTAAGTTCCTTTTAATGGTTCCATAATAATCGCAGATTTTTTGAGGAGCAGATGACTGAAAGTGAAATATACTTTGGCAATATCGCCACCAATGTTAATGATGGTAACCTTGGCAACCAATTCGCCTTCTTTGGGTGGGCTAGCCTTCTAGTTATGTTGAGGTCGCAACTATACCCGTTCTCTTAAATACAAGCATTCAAATCAGCCTTATGCTGTCTATTGTCAAATGAGAGAAGTCCGAAGGCTACACTACTGAAAACGAAAAGTGAGCCTAACTATGCTATGAATTCTCTCTCAGTGTTGCACCGTTTTGCCAAACTTCTGTGATGCGACTACAACGCTTACACTTTAGAGGGGAGGATTTCTCACCCCTCCACACCAGTGGTGCTGAGATGGAAGACTGCTTTAATGTCTACTTCATTTTGTTACTCTATTCATAAGGCACTAGCAACTAACGTGACACCGTCCTAAACCATCTAAATAAGTTTTATCTCAGAGTCTTCCTTATTACACTTGTGCATAGGTATTGGCGATGGCATTGCCTCAGGCGCATTCCCATAAAATCACGTTAGATTCCGTATTTATGGTTAGAAGTAACTCCGGACCCAAATACATTTCACTAGCTGGGGCGGAGGCGATGCCACTGATGGCGACAATGGATTGTATTTATAGGCATCGGTGAAGGCCAACTTGTACCCAAGAGGTGATTTAATGGTCCAAACAAAAAAGGCACCACTCTTTCCTTCACAAGTACTCTTGACTTATGTACTTTGTTACCTAATGGGAGTCTGGACATTCGAGATTAACGTAAATGCGTGTGGTGTAAAGAAAAATGAAATTACTCAATAAGGATGGCAGTAGATCAGAAACCAGAATGTTGTTGTCAATGTTGTAGTGCTTTGTTTATGTGACCACATGTCGTTTGGCGGTCACTTTAAGATTTGTCTGGCCCTAGTACACGCGAGCTAGCCTTCGGGCCATGCCCAGGCCCATTTGCTCTGTCGTCTTTGGTGCACATGCATCCAGCTGCACTTACCGACCTCTTCCACCCTATAGCACGTCTCGGGACGCTACACTGGTGGCAGCGGAGACCGAATCCGACATTTTTCTAACAACTTCCACGTATAAAGTGCTTTTGAAGACCTTCTGCTCCAACCGAGGTGGGGTCTCTCTCTGTGGCTTGTTCTTTGTTGGTCGTTTGTTAAATGCGACATAGCGATGCCTGTTGAGCAATAGATTTTCTCGGACACTGTCTTATTGGCATCCTACGTTAGTGTTGCCAAACTTTGCTAATTAATCGACTGATTTCCGGAAAAGAAAAGTACGAACAAGTCGACGAGCAAGAGTTCGATCGGATGATGCATTGCTTCAGTATCTACAAACCGTACAGGATCTGGAGATGTATGTCGCTTGTTCTGAGTTTGAGTATCTATAAGTCTGATAATCTGTTGGACTCCAAAATGGGGTCCCCATGATCGGAAATTCGAAACCTCTCTTTTTGTGATAAGAAGTTCATAATTCAACCAGCAGACAAAACTGCAAAGGAATTCTACTTTTTGGTGGAGAAATCAAAGATTTATAGGCGCATGTCGGAGCTATGTCATGACTCTAACTAAGTGCAATAGATGAAGATACAGGTGAAAAGAGATGTAATTTAAAGGAGGCGCATTTTCCTTGGTGACGGACAATCCCTGAATCCTCCCCGCGTTACATACACAAGGTATTAACAACTGAAGCGACACCGCCGTGAACCATCTGGAGAATATTCGTATCAGAATTTCCCAAACGATATCCGTGTTCAGGTGTCAGAAATGAGACCACGGTTCTCCTTACATATAGGACAGTGACTCATCCCGTTTCCCTTGTAACATAACTGGTTTAGACCAGAGTTCCGCCATCTATTTCGGGAGGCAATTGATGGCCAATGGGTGTAAGCGACCCCGAATCTGTTTGCCAAACCAAACGCAATCCCAGATCCAGTTGAAGCTGCCGAGGAGATCAGGTACGATTCCTCAGTTTCATGCTATCAACTGGCACGTTTGGCTCGTGGGTGCTTTCATGTAGTATCGAATACATTCTGATGGCTGGAGTGGGAGGCATACCAAAGGGGGAGCGCCGAGGACGTCGCTCAAAAGAAGAGAGGGATAGCGTTATGCTTTGCTTATGTGACCATATGACGTTTGACGGTCACTTTAAGAATTGGCTGGTCCTTGTACACGTGGGTTGGCCATTGGGCCATGCTCAGGACCATTTATCTGTCGCGTTCGGAATACATATATCCAGCTGAACCTACTGTCTTCTTATACCGGCTAGGAAGTCTCGGGACACTACACATGTTTTGCTACATTTTTATTACACACAATGGCCAACTCCTACAGTCGCCTAAATTTGAACCACCGTTTTACTAGGTAAGCTTATTAGTGGGACCTGTATAATTTTAGAACAAGAAAGGCGAGCAAGCACATGCTCGTAATGGTGTGAGTACAAAGCATCAGGTACTGATCTTCGGCTCCTACATCCAATGTCACTTGCCTGGGTTTGAAATAATGAGCTACCTAATCTCGCATTTAAAGACCAAACTTATATTATAAATGAAAACTTAAAAGTCGCCACTTGGTATGTATCTTATATTTTTTCGGGTACTAAAAATTGCACAAATACCTACTTGTTTAGTAAACTTTACCTGTGTCATCTATTGTTTGATACATTCGAGAGGCTATGCAAGTTCAGATCCGCTCAGTTTGAATGGTCTGGACTCTTGCGAATGCACACGGTTGGTTTACTGTCAATGCTTTTTAATTATTTTTTAAGTGTCTAAGCAATAACTCCTCTTAGCTGACAGGCAGTAAAGATTGATGTTGCAAGCAAGGATCGAATCAAGCCCTGCATGTTTTTGAAATCGAGATGTAGATCATAAACTTTATGATTATGCTTATGTACATAATGGGTATGTGTGGGTTGAAATCTTGGCAGTGCTTGACAGAAAAGTGATGCATTTGGGAGGTTTTGTATTTTGGAGACCAAGGACCTATTCGTATAGTTAGGCGAACTCGACACTTGCTCTTTCCACAGCAACTTGGCTTCGACTCTAGCCTTTCATCTATGATTAACCTTAAGGAGGTGGTATGTGCTGCGGGAGTTGACACCACATAAATTAGGAATGCTTAGAACATTAAGATCCATTGAACTGACATGAATAAGGTCTGGGGCAAACGCATGGAAATGCACATCTGAGGTTCTCCTATGTCGACAGGGGAGCAATCGGAAGTGATAGAAGGCGAGGGCTACCCTGCGAAGAATCATGTGGAGATATTTAATGATGTTGTGTTATGCATATCTTGTTAGTGACGTTGGTAAGCGTGAGATTGATTCTGTTCAGGATAGGGCTTGGTGTTTATCAACTATTCTGATCCTAGGTTTGATTGAGCGCCATTTGCGGTTTTTTGGTTAAGCATGATGAGTCTGCCCTACTGTCACTCCTGCCTTCCACTGGAGACGAAGTAAGTAGATAACCATCTCGGCAACGCCTTGGTTATGGGTAGAAAAAGGCGAACCAGGCTTGCGCGAAATGTATACTCATCTCCACTCTTGCAGACGTTGAGGACAAGCCTGGTGAGGCATGCATTCATATCTTATTTACTGTCATGGTGAAGTGGTTATTTTCATTTTCATTGTTACGATCTGGAATAGTAGCTGGTGTCGAAAGGCGGCGTCACATAGTGGGAGATGTTTGGAAAACATAAAACGTGGAGTTCAAAGATCGGTTTGCTGCAGTTATTGATGGCAGTACTCTTAAATGCATGCATTTATGTAGTTTTTGCGTGCTTTTCTAAGAATAGCTTCTAATTCAATTTAAAGGCATAAATGTTGCTTGTGTATTAGCGAAGATGTCGACGTGTTCTGCGGCTTGTCTGTCCCCACCAACGTTAGGTATATTATATATACAAATATCGAATGAGTCCATGGGGCATGTACGAAGAGTTTTACCGTTGTAGAGGTGAAGGATGTAAGACCACTGTGGCAGAAAATGTAAAGATGAGGGTGGTTGAGTGTGTTAGATCCTCGATTTTTCAGTAGAGTTGAAAGGAATGTGGATGTGTGGAGTTAGCCGTCCTCTTCAAATCTTTTGCTTCGATGTGGAAGTTTTGCTACACTCAGGCTACATGCATGATGACTATGGCATTGCGGTTTGGCTACCATCGCCTTTAGTAGAGTTGGGATTAAGGAGATGCAACGACTGTGTCCTCCCCTGGAGGTGAAATATTGAAGTAGTGGAGGGATACAGTAGAATTGCGAATATTGTAACTGAAGTGGGGCTTGTAAAGTGTAGTAATTCGGAATTCTCAGTCCCATTTTTGAATGAAAAGATAATGAGCTCAATGTAAACAATAGGAGTAGAATTTAGTAATGGTAACAGGTGTCGAGGGAGGAGCGGAGGAATAAAAGGAAGAAGCAGATATGGTGTTTAGCTAGTTGTAGCGACAACTTCATTCGAGGCGTCGCTTGTTGTGAACCTTCCCTCAGTCATAAGGGGTGCCGTGCTCTTCGTTCCCTCCACTCTGATGAAGTTTCGGCACTCCAGGTGGTAGGTCCCAAGGAGGAAATGGTGGACCTCCATGGGGAGGTGGTGGGCATCCGCTGGGAGGTGGTGAGTCCCACTCTGGACGTAGTGAATCGCAGTGGGGAGGCGGTAGCAACCATTGGGGAGGTTTTGGACCTCCAAAAGGCGGTCGCGGACCCCAGCCAGGATTTGGTGGGCACCAGTGTGGTGGTCGTGGACCTTCACAGGGAGGACACGGGCCAGGATTGGGAAGTGGCATGCGTTCTTTGAAATTAGATGGGCCTTTAAAAGGTGGTGATGGGTCCCATCCATGATCATACGGGAGCAAGTATCCTTCAACGCCGGGAGCAAAGTGAGTGTTCATCATAATGCATAATATGTAATAATAAAGGAAAGAGAGTTGACGAAAGGAGAACATTGTGTTGGTGTAGGCCCTCAAAACAATCGGGAACAGTGTTGGCGAGAATAGTCGGCATTTATGGTGGAGAACTGCCGACCTAACCAATGGGAGTGAGAAGTATGGAAGGCAATTCATTTGACGTTGTCAGTGGGTGGACTGCTTTCGTGGGTATCGACGTAAGAGTAAGGGTGGTTGGGTCATAAAGCTGTCATTTGTTTTATGCAAAAGTAATGGTCCGTTTTCGTTGTTGTTGCGTTGTAGGAAGGCTTTTTTAGTGGTATTTTACGTAGTTAACAGAAGACGAATTAGTAGGAGGGTGGTGTAGGGAGGAGGGTTTGGTGAGGAGTGGAGACTAGGACGTGTTTGGAGTTATTTGTGTTTCCACATCTTGCCTAATGTGGAGGAGTGGCGTTACCAGTGTGAATGTACAAGCACATTTGGAAGGTTGTCAGTGACCACTGTTGAATGATGTGTTCATCATTAGATTTGGGTGGTGTGTTTCGTTGGAGCTTTGTGCAATAGCAAGTATTGTTCGTTCTATTTTAGTCATGAATACTCTTGTGAAAGTCCTGGACGACCATGAAAATGGAGGGACGTACGGCTTATTCCTTCGACTCTTCCTATGCTGTCCTATGGTTTTCTTTGCCAAAAACTGTTCGTGTGCATATGGCATTGCCTTTGAGTGATTATTTGGCTTTGTGCCATGTCCACTCTCACACCTCGAGATCACAATGAGAGCGGTTATTGTGATGCTGATTTGATTGTGGAGTCAAAGGTGAGTGGTTGGTGAGTGAGAGTGGAAAACGGAAGTGAGTGAAGTGGGAGCAGTATGGGCATTTTGAAGGCGAATGTCAAGGGATTTGAGAAGGAAGTTGTTGTTTGGCTGCAGTTAGCGTTCAAGGCATTCAACAGCTTCTCAAGCAGAAGTGTCGGATCGTGACTCTGCCTCTCGCCTAAGCGGTGCATTTGGGGAAGCGCCAGCACTGCAGTATCGTCTCTCACTGGCACAAATGTTGTGGATTTTAGTGAAATTTGAGGAGGAGTTGATTGTTTGCGTGCTTCAGATGCACATAGTTTTATTGTTTCGTAGGTGTTTATGCTCATGCCTACGCACGCAGAGTATTTGGGAGGCATTAATAGCTGTTACTGTCGTCAATCTCTGCGAGCACATGTGACAACGCACGCAGTCAGATGAGGAGGACAGGTGGAGCAGACCGATCTACATACGACAAGGGAAGTAGGTGGTAGGTGGGGATGGTATGAAGTAGTGAGATGTTGTGCAACTTCATCAAGTCAGAGGAGACAAGGTGTGTGGGAGTAGCGTGTTGTGTTTGAGAAGGAGGATATTACGTTGCCCTGAGATGTGAGAGGTTGCGCTTCAACAATCCGTTACGTTGTTGCTTGTACTGATTGTGAGGACAGTGTTGTGAAGTGGTAGCCGCGTCGAAGATGGCGTTGATAGACTTTCTACCTCCTCTGCCAATTGGTTATGGTATTCAGTGACTGGACAATGACTATAAACATATATTTTGTGCATGAATTTATTTGCAAAGACCATCTTTTGTCTTGCATCGCCCATGGATCCTGGAGAAGATAAATCGGAGGGGTTCAGTTGGAGAACATGAAAATTTTGAGTTTTTAAGCTAAATTACGTGAATATTCTGTGATCACGAATTTGAGGAAGTGGACTGTTAGCCTGAGCACACTTTTCTTTTTTAAGTAGGAGGTGAATGGGAAATGAGAACATTTTGTATGCCGTCCTCCTCAAATTAGTTGCTTTAATTTGAATATTACATTGAGCTTCTGCCAATTCTGTGATGACTATGGCAGTGTGCCTTCTGGTTGCAATTATCTACTGCTTTTTTTCATGTACAGGCAGTGGGTGGTAAAGTCGGAGGCAAACGCATTTCTGTTTTATTTTTACCAGCTGCAGGAGATGAAAAACGAAGTTATTTTTAGTACTGTATTGTCATTGACTGTACCACTTGCATTTATCAACACCCTTTAGCCTTCTTCATATAACGTTTTGTCGCACTCAGCGTGCTTGTCGTGTCCACCATGCAGACCTCCGTGATTGCCTAGTAGATTGTGAGGACCGTGATGACCCTTGGAGTGGGGGTCCTTATCGCACTCCTTCTTCGCGTCTTCTGGGTGCTGCATCTCACCTTCTACAACGAACACAACATGCACACCTGAAGCATTAGCCAAACCTCC